ACTGAAATCCTGTGGCTGTTCCAAAATCCAGAAAATTCAGTGGACAAAAAACCCAAATCCATGCGGTCAGCATTTTGATGACACTGCGCAGAGTGGCTTCCACACCCTAGGGATGGCTGGATTGCTTGTGGGACTGCACTTGAGCTGGGTGAGGCGGATCTGCATCACCCCTAGCAGCTTTAGTGTCCTTGCCTCTCTGAGCCGCGATTTTGTTACCTGTATTACAGGGGCAACAGGACCTGCTTCATGAGGCTGATGCAAGGACAGAGGTGTGTCCACATGTATGTGTGCAGGCGCGAGGCACGGGGACAACACGTGCTCAGTCATCCGTCATCACAGACGCATGAGGAGTCAGGAGCCGCCGGGCTCTTGACCTCTGTCATGTCAATGTGCTTCTAGTGTGAGTGGGCAGTAGAGGGACAAGAGCTACACACCTTGGGTACGCCTGGGAGTGACACCCAATGCTTCTGCCGAACACCCTCCCCATGTTGGGTTCATGAGGAGGTGGCCTGTCCCTATCCCACCTCCAGCCCCCAGGGACTGGCTGTTGCAGGTGAAGGGACACAGCGCTCCTTGGGCAGCACCGTCGGCCACCGAGGGCTGAAAAGACCTTTTGCCAGAAGCTAAAGGAGTGAATGACAACGAATGAGTGACAGGGATAAGGTGAGGGGTCACTGAGGAATGTGCTGGGCTTCAGTCTCCCTGTCTGCAGCAGGTCCCTGGCTTTCACTATCTCTTTTCTAGTCTTCAAACAAGAACTGACCTAGAGGTACGGCCTCTAACACAGGTGACCATGGGACAGTCTGAGCGACACCAGTCGTTTGCACTCTCCTTGGCCCTGGCTCATCTCCACACACGGAGACGGTTGTCCTGAGGTCCCTGCCACTCTCACTGCATGACTCCTGTGCACGTGCTAGGGTCTCCTTGTGACCCAGCAGGTCCCATGCAGAATGGGGCAGGTGCTCAGGACCCTGTGGCAGGGTTCCTACCCTCTGCCAGGACACAGTGCTTGTACTCGGGTCACGCTGGTCCCTTTGGGGAGTGGCCCCACTGCTGCCCCCCTGCCCCGGAGCCCTGTGCCGACTCTCAGCAAGCCAGCCTGTCCTCAGCTGCTGATGGCAGCTTCCTCTCTGGCCCTCGTGGCTGCTGTAGCCAGGCTGACAAAGTCATCTACATGGACCCGGCTGCCCAGACGGTCACCAGCAAAG